CGAGGTCTAGCCGAAAATACTACGAGCTTTTCACATTTGATATCTATTTCTGTGGTTAGATTGCGGAAAAGCGCCATTCCACACGAATTAACCTCCGACGATGGGTACACTGGTGTGTTTAATGGGAAAAAATCATGATCATCATGCAAACACATAAGGGTTTCATGGTTATCCGGCTCTATGTAATAATCATGATCAGGTGTAACCCCAAGGTATTTATGTGCAATGTTATAGTGCCCGGTCGCTAGTGATGAATTTGAGCCTGGTAAATAAACAAGAGGGGTTAGAATTTCATATATATCGAATAAGGATTCCCTTTGTCTTAGCGGTACTGACGCAAGTACATGAAAACCATGCGGCGAAGGAATAACCACTGCCTCTATTATCCCGTAATATTTTAAGAGGGACTCCGTTGGCGTATGTGGAAACTGGAGAGTTGGGGGTAAAAGCAATTTAATGTCCGTTAACATTTCCAAAAGTTTATGGGGTGGTATCAGATCTGTCGATAATCTACCCCCAACTAGAGTATCTACCGCTCTTGTTATTGCATCTATGGTTGATTGTAGCTGATCAAATGCAAGTGTGAGCCCATTTATGGCTAAATATATCCGAGTTAAATATTTAAATTCCGTCAAAGGGTAACCCTCAAAATAATCCAATTCCCAGGTTATGTATTGTACTCGATCGGCGATAAAATTACTGTGATCCACTACTTCTTTCAACAGTTTAGTATTTAACTCAGTATTTATACGAGTTAAATTTATGATTGTTATGCTGTCATCCAATATAGCCGAAAGATAGGATTGGGAAATCTGCATACCATTAATTTGTCCCTGAAGTTATTCGATGTCGCCCTCCATAGCGCTACCTATCAACCATTTTGCTAATTTACCGACGCCAGCAAACAAGGATCGCTTTGGCCGTGTCCGATGAAACGAATGCAACCCATGCACACGTGCGCTCAACGCCTCATATCTACGAAGAAACCACTGTAAATGAGTTTGAAGCATTTTATACAGATCATGCGCGAATTCTTTCTCACCACTCCAAGCAGGATAAGTAGGCATAACCTTATGTGGGGAAATAGGCGTTTGTAGACGGTTAATCTCTACATGCATTCGGATAAGGTAGAGGTTTAAGGCGGAGGTGTTTACGGAGAAGGCAATTAACCAGGTGTTTTGCGACACGGTCAACTGGCATTTCTTGACAAACAGAGCCCCGCTCGTTGGCTGGAGTGTAGAATCCACAGCTGTCGGTCTCATTATGTGCCAACACAGCGT